GGGACGGAGGCTGCCGGTAGCGATGACTCCGTGATGCCGGCACCTCCGTGATCCTGCCCCCTCCATCCCGGCACCTCCGCCATCCCGCCTCCATCATCCCGGCACCTCCGTGATCCCGCCCCCGCCATCCCGGCACCTCCGCCATCCCGCTGCCCCCGCTCTGCCGGCATCTCCGTGATCCTGCCCCCAGCATCCCGACACCTCCGCGATCCCGGCACCTCCGCCACCCCACCGCAGCCCCGGCGCCGCCGCAGCCCCGGCGCCGGCTCGGGCTCGTTCCCCGGGGAGCCGGCAGCACCGGGCGTTTGCCGCGGCCGAGGCGCCATTTGCAGAAGCTCCGAACCCCGGAAAGTCACCGGGCCCGGCACCACCGGGCCCGGCACCGGGACCCACCGGCATCACCGACACCACAGCGCCCGGCCCTCCCGAAGGCCTGGGACCCCGGTGCGACCGACATCACCGGCACCCCCAGACCCACGGGCCCGGCACCCTCAGACCCATCGGCATCACCGGCACCTCCAAACCCATCGGCATCACCGGCACCCCCAGACCCACGGGCATCACCGGCACCCCCAGACCCACCGGCACCCCCAGACCCACCGGCATCACCGGCACCCCCAGACCCACGGGCATCACCGGCACCCCCAGACCCACCGGCATCACCGGCACCTCCAGACCCACCGGCATCACCGGCACCCCCCAAACCCATCGGCATCACCGGCACCCCCAGACCCACGGGCGTCACCGGCACCCCCAGACCCACGGGCATCACCGGCATCCCCCAAACCCATCGGCATCACCGGCATCCCCAGACCCACCGGCACCCCCAGACCCACCGGCATCACCGGCACCCCCGGCAGTGGGGTGGCGGCGGGGGGCGGGCGTGGGGAAGAGCTGGGGGGCGGGCGTGGGGGGGCAAAGTGAGGGGGAGCCGGCGGGGGCGGGCGTGGGGCACAGCGCGGTGCCAAGCCTGAGTCACCGGCTCCATCGCCCACGTCCCCCGAGCAGCCCCTCCACCCCAGGCCTGGCGCCGCCTCCCCGCACTGAAGGGGGGGTCACAGGGACCCCCCTGCCCCCAGACTCGGGCCTCAGCACCCAAACGCCCCTCGCAGCCCCAGCAGGGCCCCCCCGCGCCACCCTCCACGCCGCAGCCCCTCCTCCACCCCCCAGCCCTGCGGCAGCCCCGCGGCATCCTCCGATCCCCCCTCGCCCCCGCCGCTCCCGGCTCCACGGGGGAGCGGGCGAGGGGGGTCCCACGCGCGGGGACTCACCGAGCGCCACGATCTCCGCCAAGACGCGCCGGGGGGGCATGACCGGGGGGGGAAACGGCGCCGGCACCGGGAGGGCTCCGGAGGGGATGCGGCACCGGCGGGGAGCACCGGCACCGGTACCGCGGGGGCTCCGGGGGAAAATGGCCCCGGCGGCTCCGCCCGCACCGGCACCGGCACCGGCTCCGGCTTCGCGGCAGGGGCGGGGCGGGGGGCGGGCAGCGGGGGGCGCCTCATCCCAGCGCCCCACCCTCCACAGCCGCGCACCCCGCGGGGGAGGCACCCCCGGCGCCCCGAGCGGGAAGGATTAACGCCGACCAGTGCTCCCAGTACAGGCAGAAACAGGGGCCACACCCGGCCAGTGCTCCCAGTACAGCCAGAACCAGGGGCTAACCCTGACCAGTGCTCCCAGTACAGCCAGAACCAGGGACCACCCCCGGCCAGTGCTCCCAGTACAGCCAGAACCAGGGGCCAACCCCTGACCAGTGCTCCCAGTACAGCCAGAACCAGGGGCCAACCCCGACCAGTGCTCCCAGTACAGCCAGAACCAGGGGCCAACCCCTGACCAGTGCTCCCAGTACAGCCAGAACCAGGGGCCACCCCTGACCAGTGCTCCCAGTACAGCCAGCGCGGCACGGGTTAACTGTGACCAGCGCACCCAGTACACTCCGTACGGAGCAGGTTAACCCTCCCCTGCACACCCAATCCGCAGAGGATTTACTCTCCCCAGTACATCCAGTATGGAGAGGGTTAAGCCTGACCAGTGCTCCCAGTACACCGGGCCGGCAGGGGTTAACTGACCAGTACACCCAGTACACCCAGTCCGGAGAGGGTGGCTGTGACCAGCGCACCGAAAGCGGACAGGGTTAACCCTCGCCACTGCAACCAGTGTGGAGAGGGCGAACCCCGCCCAGCGCTCCCAGCGAGGCCGGTCCCGCCCCGCGCTCCCGCAGGGAAGTCCCGCAGCCGCTCGGCACCGCCCGCCCGGGCTGGGCGATCAATTGTGGGCCCAGCACCGGCCCAGCACCGGCCCAGCACCGGCACAGCACCGGCACAGCACCGGCACACCGCTGGCCCATCAGCGGCGCGTCTGACGGCGCCCGGCTGCCGCATTCAGAGCCCGGGGGAGCGCGGCCGCGGAGGGCTGAGATGGGAGCCCTGGCACGGCCCTGGCACGGCCCTGGCACGGTGCTCACACCCTGCCGGCCACCAGCCTCTCTTCTGGCCGGAGAACAGAGCACGGCTCCAGCCACCAGCGCCGCAGCAGAATGTCTGGTCTGGCGGCTGGGCAGGCTGGGGAGCCGCGGATCCCCTGCGGGGAGATGGGATTAGGGACGGGGATCAGCGCCGGGAACCAGTGCTGGGAGCCGGGGATCCGGCTGGGGAGATGGGACTGGGGACTGGGGTCAGCGCCGGAACCAGTGCTGGGAACCGGTGCCTTGATCCAGAGCTGGGGCTGGAACCAGAGCTGCTGCCAGGTCCCGGAGCTGGTGCCGAGAGCTGGAGCTGGTACCAGGAACAGGAGCTGGTACCAGGAACGGAAGCTGGTACCAGGATCTGGAAACCAGTGGGAACCAGAGCTGGTGCCAGGAACCGGAGCCGGTACCGGGCAAGGGAGCTGGAGCGGAGAACAGGCGCGTGTGCAGCCCCGCAGTGCGTGAGCACACCTGGGTGTGGTGGACACGGGTGGACACGGTGGACACGGGTGTGTCCAACCCGGTGGCTGCAGGCACGCCCCGGCGCAAGCACGGAAGTGTGCACAGAGAACACACCTGTGCACACACACACACACACACACACGCACACACGCACTGGGGCGGTCTCGGGGGCTTCCAAGACCCCCCGTGCCCCCCACCACATCCAGTTGCTGGCGTGGCGCAGCCCCCCGACCCCCAGCCCCATCGGGGCCATCGCGTGCCGAAGTGAGCCCGGCAACCCCAGCACCACCGCACCCACCCCGCGGGGCTCAGGGACCACCGAGCCCCCGGAGCGGGGAGGCGTGAGGACCCCCGGGACCCGACACCCGCACGGTGCAAGGTGGCACCCGCAGCGCCGAGGTCGGGACCCTCTCCGGGTCGCTCTGTCCCCTCCGCGGTACCTGCCCTGAGGGGGACAAGGCTCAGACCCCCACCCGCTCTCGCTGCGGCCGTACCGGGGCTGCCGCTCGCTCCGTCCGTCCGGATCCGGTGCTGGCGCAGCCGCTCCTCCCGCGGTCATGTGCCGGTGCCGGCACGGGCGCAGGGAGCGAATCCCCCGGCCAGAGCCGGACAAAGGGCCCTTTTCAGCCGCGCTGGGCCCCGCGGGCCCCTCGGCGTCAGGGGACAAAGGTCCGGCACGCTTGGCACCGGCAGCGCCGGGCACTCCCCGCCCGGGGCACCCGCGGGGCGCGGGGCACCGGACTCCGCAGAGGGGGGTGGGCGTGCGGCCAGGACCCCTCCTGCACCCCCGACCCTCCGGGCTCTCACCTCCATCCGCCGGCGCTCCGCGGGGAGCGGGGCTGGCGCCACGTGCGCGGGGCTGGCACGGCTGGCACGGTGCCCGCCGGGATCCCAGCGCTGGCACACGTCAGCGGGGCTGGCACACGCCGGCGCGGTGCCACCGCACCCTGTCCGGGAGCCGCCCGCGCCCGCGGGGCCGGGGCCGCTGGTGCCACCCTTGTGCCCACTCCCCTGTGCCGCTGGTGTCACACTCGTGCCCACCCCGTGTGGGGTCCCCAAAGGGGCGCGGGGGTCACCGAGACCCCCAGCCCTGTGTTCAGCCACCTGGGGCATCTAAGTGGGCAACATGGGCATGGAGGGGACGCTGGGCACCCCCGCCTCACCCTGCCACTGCCTGCTGGAGGGTCTCACCCTGCCAGCACTGCCCACGGTGGGGGCTCTGCCCACACCCACAGGGTGGGCACCCGGGGGCCCCCCAGCACAGCTCGGGGTGCAGGGGGACAGAGGAACAGGCAGGGAGCAGGGAAGAGGTAGGCAGGGAGCAGGATAGAGGTAGGGAGGAGGCAGGGAGCAGGTGGGGAGCAGGCAGGGAGCAGGTAGGAAAGAGGTGAGGAGCAGGGAGGAAGCAGGGAGCAGGTGGGGAGCAGGGAGGAAGCAGGGAGCAGGTGGGGAGCAGGGAGGAAGCAGGCAGAGAGCAGGATACAGGTAGGGAGGAGGGAGGAAGCAGGGGGGAGGCAGGCAGGGAGCAGGATACAGGTAGGGAGGAAGCAGGGAGCAGGTGGGGAGCAGGAGGCAGGTAGGTGCAGGCAGGGAGCAGGTGAGGAGCAGGAAGGGTGCAAGAAGCAAGCAGAAGTGCAGGAGTGGCCAGGTCCAGCCCTGGGGTGGCCCAGAGCCACCACCCAGCACAGCCACCTCACTGGGGGACACAGCACCCACACAGAGCCAGGCTCCGGCCTGACCCCAATCTCAGTGCTCCCAGTTGGGTCTGGGACCCCATCCACCCCAATCCCAGTGCTCCCAGTTGGGTCTGGGACCCCATCCACCCCAATCCCAGTGCTCCCAGTTGGGTCTGGGACCCCATCCACCCCAATCCCAGTGCTCCCAGTTGGGTCTGGGACACCACCCACCCTAATTCCAGTGCTCCCAGTTGGGTCTGGGACCCCACCCACCCCAATCCCAGTGCTCCCAGCTGGGACTGAGACATTCCCCCTATTCCAATGCTCCCAGCTGGGACTGGAACTTCCGCTCCCCTCTCCCAGTCCCCCCTCAATCCCAGCCATGCAAAAGGCTCCAATTTATTTAAAATTCCAAATTTTATTTGCAGTTTTATTCCAAATTTCACTGGTGTCACACGGGTGACCCAAAGTCCTCCTGCCCACCTCCTGCCCTGGCACGAGGGTGCCCAGGAGCATCCCCAAGTGAGGATCCCCCAACTCTGAGCTCCTGGGCAGTGCAGGAGCACCCCTGCACACCTCGAGCCCCTGGACACCGTAACCCCCGCTTTGGCACCAGTGCCAGGGGACGCCGAGAGGATAAAAAGGGGTCCTTGGGGCAGAGCCCCTGCCGGGGGGCTCAGAGGGGGCCCCCGTGGCGGCTGCGGCAGGTGATGAGGTACTGCGGGTAGGCCTGGGTGTCGTTGAAGATGACGAAGATGTCGGGCTGCCGCGGGTCATCCACCACGCTGTGGAAGCGCCGGGGCGCCACGGAGCCCTCGCGCAGAGGGGGTGCCTGCAGCCCCGGCTGCCCGGCCGCGAACTCCCCGGTCAGCACCTTGGCCACGAAGATGAACTTGGTGCCGTTGGCGCTGGGCGGCGAGTAGCGGTCCCGAGCCGAGATGGCCGCGCGCGCCGCGAAGTAAACGCCGCAGCCGTAGAGCGTGGCTGAGGGGACGGGCATCAGCCGGGGCACAGGGGTGTGCCAGCGGCACCGGGAGCACATCGGCACCCCGGGGCCACACCGGCACCCAATTCCAGACCGAGGGCACGGTGCCCTCCTTGGCACCCCATTCCAGACCGAGGGCACCGTGCCCTCCTTGGCACCCCATTCCAGACCGAGGGCACCGTGCCCTCCTTGGCACCCCATTCCAGACCGAGGGCACCATGCCCTCCTTGGGACCCCATTCCCATGCACCCGTGATCACCCTGTTCCTGAACAAATGGCACCGTGCCCACCTCACCACCCATTCCACACCGAGGGTACCATACCCACCTTTACCACTCTATTCCACACTGATGGCACCGTGCCCACCTTGGCACCCCATTCCCATCCTCCCATGATCACCCTGTTCCTGTGCAAATGGCACTGTGCCCACCTCACCACCCCATTCCACACTGAGGGCACCGTGCCCACCTTGGAAACCCCTTCCCATCCTCCCATGATCACCCTGTTCCTGTGCAAATGTGCCCACCTCACCATCCCATTCCTACACCAATGGCACTGTGCCTACCTTGGAATCCCATTCCCATCCACCCATGATCACCCTATTCCTGAGCAAATAGCACTGTGCCCATCTCATCACTCTGTTCCTGCACCGAGGGCACTGTGCCCTCCTTGGCACCCCATTCTCATGCCCTCTTGATCACTCTATTCCTGTGCAAATGTGACCACCTCACCATCCCATTCCTACACCAACAGCCTCCTAGGCATGCACCCATGATCATCCTATTCCTGTGCACCAATGGCCCCCATCCCATGCACCCCTGTTCCTGTGCAATTGGCACCATGCCCACCTCACCACCCCGTTCCCACATCGAGGGCACTGGCCCAGCTTGGCACCCCATTCCCATGCACCCATGATCACCCTATTACTGAGCAACAGCCCCCATGCCCACCTCACCACCCTATTCCACACCACTGGCACCGTGCCCACCTTGGCACCCCATTCCCATGCACCCATGATTGCTCTGTTCCTGTGCAAACAGCACCATGCCCACCTCACCACCCCATTCCACACCAAGGGCACTGTGCCCTCCTTGGCACCCCATTCCCATGCACCCATGATCACCCTATTCCTGTGCAAATGGCACTGTGCCCACCTCACCACCCTGTTCCCACACTGAGGGCACTGTGCCCTCCTTGGCACCCCATCCCATGCCAATGGCACCCAGTGCCCTGTTCCCATGTTGTCAGCACCATGCCCAGAAGGACACCCTGTTCCCATGCCAATGACACCGTGCCCCCCCTTGGTGCCCTGTTCCCATGCTGATGGCACCGTGCCCCCCCCCGGTGCCCTGTTCCCATGCCAATGGCACTGTGCCCCCCCCCGGTGCCCTGTTCCCATGCTGATGGCACCGTGCCCCCCCTTGGTGCCCTGTTCCCATGCCAATGACACCATGCCCCCCCCGGTGCCCTGTTCCCATGCCAATGACACCATGCCCCCCCGGTGCCCTGTTCCCTTGCCGATGACACTGTGCCCCCCCTTGGTGTCCTGTTCCCATGCTGATGGCACCGTGCCCCCCCTTGGTGCCCCGTTCCCACACCAAGGGCACCCCTGGTCGCCCCCACGTGCCCAGCGCTCACCGTTCTTCCCGCAGAAGCTGCGGTTGAAGCCATGCAGGCAGATCTCGCAGCTGGAGGCCTTGGTGGTGCCGTGGAAGAGGACGCGCTCCACGGTGGTGCCGGCGGCGCAGGCGCGCTTCACGCTGCCCTTCTTCAGCTGGTACTGCTTGTACAGCACTGGATGGATCAGCTTCTGCACCTGCTGGGCCCCGCCGTGTTACTGCTGTGCCACAGGGACACCCGGGGGTCCCCCGTGCCCAGCCCCACCTGCACGACGCTGATCTGGCTGTGCAGCTCCTCCAGAGTGCTGCAGAAGTGGCGCACTGTGTCAGCGAACTCCTCTGAGTCTTCAGCCAGCGCCATCAGCCGCACCTCCTCCTCCAGCCCAGCCACCTCTGGCCCTGCTGGACAAAGCCCCGGTAAGCGTGGGCACAGCGAGGGGCACGGCTGGCCCCACGGCACCCACACGCACCGAGCAGGAAGAAGGTGCTGTCCAGCGGGGGCTGGCTGCGGCAGACGGGCATGGCGCGGGCGCTGCCGATGTCGAACTCCTCCATGCGCTCCAAATCCACGGTGAAGGGTCGCCCATCCAGCACCAGATCCAGCCGGCGCTCCTGGCGCGACCAGGCCTGCTCCAGCAGCGCCGCTGCCTCGGGGGCATAGAGGACAGCGGTGCCAGAGGGGTCCCAGCGCACCCAGTGCGCGGTGGCGGTGGTGGCGGCGGTGGCAGCGGTGGCAGCGGAGCGGGTCATGGCACTGCCCTGGCACTGCCCTGGCAATGGCAGGCGGTGGAGCAGCGAGGTGAGCTCTCGGGCGGCTGGGGCCATGTAGTCGGCGAAGCCGCGCAGCGTGGCGGTGTCCCCGCGCAGGCTGAGCTGCACGGCGTGCCGGCACCGCAGCAGGGCCAGCGCGCAGTGGCCGGCGGCCGGCAGCGTCCGCAGCCGCTCGCTCGCCACGTCCTGCGCCCGCTGCTGCTCCGCCAGCGCCCGCTCCAGCTCCCGCGCCGCCGCCGAGGCGTCCCGCTCGGAGGAGCAGAACACCATCACCCGCGCCGTGTCCGCCGCCTGCAGCACCTCCTCCAGCGAGGCCTCCAGCGCGGCCAGCAGCCTGGCATCCTCCTGGGCCTGCTCCTGCTCCTGCTCCCGGCTGTAGGAGCGCAGGGACAGAGCCGTGGCGCGCGCCAGCTCCTCCTGCTCGTGCCTCGCGTGGTCCATGGAGTACTGGATGGCCAGAGCCATCTGCACCTCCTCCTCCTCCTCCTCCACGCCGGTGTCCAACAGCAGCTCCTTGGCACCGTCCCCACCGGCCGCACAGATGAACGCGGCGTTGGGGTCCCGCTCATCACCAGGGACGGTGTCAGGCCACGGGTCGGGGCTGCCACGGCTGTCGGTGTCACTCGGGCGCAGCGCTGCCAGCACCTCCTGGATCTCCTCTGTGGGAGCAGCAGGGTGTCAGCCGTGAGGCCCCCTCGCCATGTCCTGGGGGAGGACCAGCACCCGTGGCCCCCTCATCCCACCGCAGCACCCGCAGAGAGGGCACCAAAGTGGCACCCTCGCCCCTCACCTGCGCTGGAATGGAAGCCGTGGCCACCACCATCACCATCGCCATCAGCAGCGGCATTGTGGCCCTCAGGCAGGTCCTGGTGCCAGGAGTGTGGCCGAGGCTCCCTGCTTGGGGGCAGCAGCTCCTCCAGCTCCAGCTGTGGGGATCAAGGGTGGCATCACCAACGCTGCACAGCAGGGACCAGCACAACGGCACCCGCTTGCCAGACCCCTCCCTCCCCACGAGGCTGCACCTGGGGATCTGGAGGGCTCCAGGGTTCACCGTCCAGCTGGATGACGCACTGGAAGCGGCTCTCCAGCTGCTGCAGGAGGCTCTGCCCAGCCACGTCCCACAGGAAGCGGGCAACGCCAGGGAAGCGCAGGGCTGCGGGGTGCGAGGCCACAGAGTCCAGCAGGCTCTGCAGGAAATCCGCCACGGCCTGGCACCGGCCTGGCTCCCCGCTCACCTGTCAGCGGATGGGCAAAGGGTCAGCACCTGGGCACCAGCGCCTGCCCAGCTCCCCACTCACCTGCAGGCAGCGTGGGCAGCACCACGGGGCTGGCAGCCCCTGGCAACAGGATGTGCCATGAGCACAGGGAGGTGGGAGAGCAGCAGAGACCCCTGCTCACACCCCTGCCTGTACCTGCCCACCCCTGCCTGTACCTGCCCACACCTGCCTGTACCTGCCCACACCTGCCTGCACCTGCCCACACCGGTCTGTACCTGCCCACACCGGCCTGCACCTGCTTGCACCTGCGCACACCTGCCTGCACCTGCCCACACCTGCCTGCACTGCTGCCTGTACCTGCCCACATCTGTCTGCACCTGCCTGCACCTGCCCACACCCCTGCACTCGATGATCTTCAAGGTCTCTTCCAACCTAGTCATCCTATGAATTCTGTCACTTCTACCCCTGCCTGCAGCTCACCCGGAACCCAGAGATGTCCCCCCCCTCCAGTGGCAGCAGGGACACTTCGGGGACGCTGCTGAGCATGTCCTGGTAGTGCTGCTGCAGGTAGCGCACGGCTCCCGGCTCCGCTGGCACCAGCACCTCATCCTGCACCGACACCGCTGGCACCGGCTCTGGCACCACCACTGACAGGGGCCTGGGGGCTTGGGCCTGGCTGGGCACAGCCCTGAACCCCTCTGTGTCCTTGTCCCTGCTGGGGAAGGTGTTTGGGGGCTGCCCCGGCCCTGGGTGTGATGCTGGTGCTGCCGGTGCTGGCGCTGTGTCTGGTGTGGGGTTCGTGTGTGCCACGGTGGGGTCTGAGGATGGCACTGAGTCCGGCGGGCAATCTGTGTCCAGCAAGGGCTCCCTGACCAGCAGGGGCTCCACGTCAGGAGGAGAGGCCCTGTCCGGAGCGGGGACAGCGTCCAGGGGCACGTCCGTGTTCTCCTCCAGCAGCTCCAGGAAGGGAAAGTGGGGAGTGAGCTCCAGCACCGTGTCCTGAAGCCGGTGTGGCCTCTGCAGCACCCGCTCTGCGTCTGTGGGGACAAAGGGACGGGCAGCTGGTGGCACAGAGCAGCTCCCTGTGCTCCCATGATCACCCTGTTCCTGTGCAAATGGTACCATGCCCAGCTTGGCACCCCCTTCCCATCCACCCATGATCACCCTGATCCTGTGCAAATAGCACTGTGCCCACCTTGGCACCCCATCCCACACCAAGGGCACCGTGCCCACCTTGGCACCCCACTCCACACCAAGGGCACCGTGCCCTCCTTGGCACCCCATTCCCATGCACCCATGATCAGCCTGTTCCTGGGCAAATGGCACCAAGCCTACCTCACAACCCTGTTCCCGCACCAAGGGCACTGTGCCCTCCTTGGCACCCCCTTCCCATCCACTCATGATCACCCTGTTCCTGTGCAAATGGCACCGTGCCCACCTTGGCACCCCATTCCACACCAAGGGCACCGTGCCCACCTCACCACCCCTTTCCCTGCACCCATGATCACCCTGTGCAAATAGCACTGTGCCCACCTCACCACCCCATTCCTGCATGACAGGCACTGTGCCCACCTTGGCACCCCATTCCCATGCACCCATGATCACCCTGTTCCTGTGCAAATGGCACCGTGCCAACCTCACCACCCCATTCCACACTGAGGGCACTGTGTGCACCTTGGCACCTCACTCCCATTCACCCATGATCACCCTGTTCCTGTGCAAATGGCACTGTGCCCAGTTTGATCACCCATGCCCCCATGATCAGCCTATTCCTGAGCAAATAGCACCATGCCCACCTTAACAACCTCATTCCACACCACGGGCACCTTGGCACCCCCTTCCCTATTGATCACCCTATTCCTGAGAAAATGGCACTGTCCCCACCTCACCACCCCATTCCACACTGAGGGCACTGTGCCCACCTCACCACCCCTTTCCCATGCACCCATGATCACCCTGTACAAATGCCAGCGTGCTCACATCACTACCCCATTCCTGCATGAAGGGCACTGTGCCCACCTTGGCACCCCATTCCTGTGCCCCCATGATCACCCTGTTCCTGTGCAAACGGCACCTGCCCACCTCACCACCCTATTCCACACCCAGGGCACTGTGCCCACCTTGGCACCCCATTCCCATGCCCCCATGATCACGCTGTTCCTGAGCAAATGGCACTGTGCCCACCTTGGCACCCCTTTCCCATGCCCACATGATCACCCTGTTCCTGTGCAAATGGCACCATGCCCACTTCACTACCCTATTCCACACTGAGGGCACTGTGCCCTGCTTGGCACCCCGTTCCCATGCCCGCACAATCACCCCATTCCTGTATAAATGGCCCTGGCACCCTGGCACCATGCCCTCACCTGCCGGCTCCTGGAAGGTGACGATGGCCCCGCGTCCCCCTGGCAGCAGCCGCACGTCGCTGACGCGGCCGCCGCCGCTGCGCCGGTTCTCAAAGTAGAGCTCGAGCAGGTCCCGGCCCAGCACCGGCCCCGCTGCCCTCACCAGCACCGCGGGGCTCCGTGGCACCCGCAGCAGCGCCAGCCCCTGCCGCCGTGCCCGCTGCTCCGCCGACGCCAGCTCTGCGGGACGGGCAGTGCTGGCACCGCATGCCATGGCCGTGCCACTGTGCCTCCGTGGCCGCGTCACGACCCCCACCATGGCACTGTCACTGCCCCCACCATGGCACTGTCACTGCCCCCGCCATGGCCCCACCACTGCCTCCACCATGGCCCTGCCACCACCCCTGCCATGGCCCTGCCACTGCCCCCACCATGGCCATGCCACCGCCCCCACCATGGCCCTGCCACCACGTCCCCATGGCTGTGTCACGGCCCCCACCATGGCCCTGCCACTGCCCCCACCATGGCCCTGCCACTGCCCCCACCATGGCCGTACCACTGCCTCCACCATGGCCCTGCCCCCGCCCCCACCATGGCTGTGCCACCGCCCCTACCATGGCACTGTCACCGCCCCCACCAGGGCCCCACCACTGCCCCCACCATGGCCCTGCCACCACCCCCACCATGGCCCCACCACTGACCCCACCATGGCCATGCCACCGCCCCCACCATGGCCCTGCCACTGCCTCCACCATGGCCCTGCCACCACGTCCCCATGGCCCTGCCACCGCCCCCCGCCATGGCTGTGCCACCGCCCCCACCATGGCCCTGCCACCGCACCCACCATGGCCCTGCCACCGCGTCCCTATGGCTGTGTCACTGCCCCCACCATGGCCCTGCCATTGCCCCTATTGCGCTGTCATACCCGGGGCTGGGCACCTGGCAGAACCCATGCCCCAAAATACCACCCTGGTGTCCCACCCAGACCATCAGCCCCCCCCAACACTCCCACCCCTGGTGCCAGGGCACCCAGCAGAACCCGTGCCCCAAAATGCCACCCCGGTGTCCCCTCTAGAATCCCCAGCCCATCAGCCCCCTGCCCCCCGAATACTCCCACCCCTGGCACCACTGTCCCCCCACCCACCCCTCAGAAGCCTCACCCTCCCACCCCAGCCCCCATATCCCCACCTCATTGCCCCCTGGCAGCTCCATCCCATCTCCTCTGCCCTCCACACCCCCACCCCCAACATCCCCATCCCACCCTGGTGCCCCCCCCAGACCCCCCAGCCCATCAGCCCCTGCCCCCCCCCAGTACTCCCACCACTGGCACCATTGCCCCCCACCCACCCCTCAGCAGCCACCCCAGCCCCCGTATCCCCACACAATTGCCCCCCAACCCCCTGGCAGCTCCATCCCATCTCCTCTGCCCTCCACACCCCCACCCCTGACACCCCCCTCCCACCCTGGTGTCCCCCCAATGTCCCCAGTCCCACCTGGGGGGCTCAGGGGGTCCTGCAGCCGCAGCAGGCTCCAGCCGGGCACCGAGCGCTGGCACAGGGTGACAGTGCCAGGGGACACCCCCAGCAGGGTCCCCAGGCGCTCAGAGGGGGTCCCGGGCTCCAGACCCCGCAGCAGCAGGTGGCAGGGGTCCCAGGGGGGGGCCGGGCGCACCCCCAGCTCGGCCCCCCCGAGCCTGTGGCTGCCGTGGGCCAACACGTTCTGTGCATCTGGGGAGGGAAGCCCGGGTCACCGGGGGCTCAGCCAGCACCCCCTCACCCCCCGGGGCACAGCACTGCCCACCAGTGCTCCCAGTGGGGCTGGGAACCTCCACACCCCATCCCAGTGGGGCTGGGATCCCTCATATCCTATCCCAGTGAGGCTGGGAACCCCCACACCCCATCCCAGTGGGGCTGGGAACCCCCACATCTTATCCCAATGGGGCTGGGATCCCTCATATCCCATCCCAGTGGGGCTGGGAACCCCCACATCTTATCCCAGTGGGGCTGGGAACCCCCACATCTTATCCCAGTGGGGCTGGGATCCCCCCCAAAACTATCCCAGTGGGGCTGGGGTCCCCCACACCCCATCCCAGTGGGGCTGGGAACCCCCACACCCCATCCCAGTGGGGCTGGGAACCCCCACATCTTATCCCAGTGGGGCTGGGATCCCACATATCCTATCCCAGTGAGGCTGGGAACCCCCACACTCCATCCCAGTAGGGCTGGGAACTCTATCCCAGTGCTTCCAGTGGGAATGAGAACCTCCACATCTTATCCCAGTGAGGCTGGGAACTCTATCCCAGTGCTCCCAGTGGGGCTGGGAGCTCCAAACACAATCCCAGTGCTCCCAGTGGAACTGGGATCCCCCACACCCTATTGCAGTGCTCCCAGTGGGACTGGGAGCTCCGAACACAATCCCAGTGCTCCCAGTAGGAAATAGGCCCCTCACACCCTATCCCAGTGCTCCCAGTGGTGCTGCCAGCTCCAAACACAATCCCAGCATACCCAGTGGGACTGGGATCCCCCCCAACCCTATCCCAGTGCTCCTAGTAGGACTGGGATCTCCTACACCCTATCCCAGTGCTCCCAGTGGGACTGGGAGCTCTAATCCCAATCCCAATGGTCCCAGTGGGACTGACATCCCCCAATCCCATCCCAGTGATCCCAATGGGACTGAGACCCTCAAATCCCATCCCAGTGCTTCCAGCTGAACCACAACGCCCAAATCCCACTCCAGTGCTCCCAGCTGGAACTGAGACCCCCAAATCCCACCCCGGTGCTCCCAGTGGGACTGAGACCCCCAAATCCCACCCTGGTGCTCCCAGTGGGACTGAGACCCCCAAATCCCACCCCAGTGCTCCCAGCTGGAACCGAGACCCCCAAATCCCACCCCAGTGCTCCCAGCTGGAACTGAGACCCCCAAATCCCACCCCAGTGCTCCCAGTGGGACTGAGACCCCCAAATCGCATCCCGGTGCTCCCAGCTGGAACCGGGGCACGCTCCCCTACCCACGCTTACCCTGGGGGTCCTCGAAGGTGAGGAAGAGGAGGGGCCCGAGGCGCTGGCAGCTCTGCACGGGCCCCCCGCCCGAGCGCCGCCGGCTCTCGAAGTACAGCACCAGCAGCTCCTCGGGGGCGTCGGGGGGGACCCCCCGCACCTCCAGCACCCCCCCGGCCATCCTGGGGCACACACACGTTCGGGGCTGGGTTCCGTTACACCCCCTGCCCCTCAATCCGCCGGGACCCCCCGTGACCCCAAACCCCCTCCCCAAACCCCCTGTCCGTGCTCCCCCCGCACCCCCGTACCGAGGGCCCCCCCGGGCCCGGGTCCGCAGGGTGGAACCCCCCTGTAGCCACAAGCAGGGACCCCCCCCCCCCACCTCAGGGCCGGACCCCCCGATCGCCCCGGACCCCCCAGCCCCGTGGGGGGTCTCACTCCCCTGCAGACCCCCCACCCCAGGGCCGGACCCCCCGATCGCCCCCGATCGCCCCGGACCTCCCCAGCCCCGTGGAAACCCCACAACCCCCAGCAGGACCCCCCCATCCCGCACCGGACCGGGACCCCCCGATCGCCCCCGCGGATCCCCCCAGCCCCGTGGGGGTCCCCACACCCCTGGCAGGGCCCCCCCGCCCCGCGGGGCAGGGCCCCCCCACGCACCGGACGCTGCGAGGCTCCGCCCCGGCCAAGAACCGAAACCGAAACGGGACCAAAACGGGAAGGGGAAGGGCGGGGGGCGGGACCGGGGTGGGGACACGGGACGGCTCCCACGCGGGACACGGGGACGCGGGGCCGGCCCGCAGAGGGGGACCAGGGACCGCGGGACCGGCCACACGAGGGACGCGGGAGCAGCAGCACGGGTGACAGGGGGACAAGTGACTGTCCCTTGTGCGTGACCGGCCCCACGAGTGACCAGGGGACACGGAACTGACCCCAGATGTGGCGAGGGGACACGGAAAAAGCGCCTCGGGTGACAGGGGTACACGGGAATGACTGGCCCCACGAGTGGCCAGGGACACGGAAGTGACCCCAGATGTGACGAGGGGACACGGGAGAATCCCCACGGATGACAGGGGTACACGGGTCCGTCCCCGAGAATGACACGGGGACACGGCTCCAGCCACGCAGGCGACAGAGGGACAACTGATTGTCCCTCGTGTGTGATAGGGGACCCGTGACGAGCCCCACGAGTGACCAGGGGACACGGGACTGACCCCAGATGTGACAAGGGGACACGGAATAAGCCCCACAGAGGTACAGGATAATGACGTAGGCGCACGGGGCATCCCCAGGGGTGACAGGGGGACCCGTGGCTGTCCCTCGTGCGTGACCGAGGGATCCGTGACCAGCCCCACGAGCGACCAGGGGGACACAGAACTGACCCCAGCCGCAAGAAAGGGGCACGGAATAAGCCCCACAGGCCGTACACGAGAATGACGTAGGCACACAGGCCATCCCCAGGGGTGACAGGGGGACACGTGGCTGTCCCTTATGCGTCACCGCGGGCGCGTGACCGTCCCCACGAGCGACCAGGGGACACGGGACTGATCTCAGAAGCGATAAGGGGACATGGAAAAAGCCCCACAGGGGGTACACAAGAATGACATAGGCACACAGGCCATCCCCAGGGTGACAGAGGGACACGTGGCCGTCCCTCGCGAGTCACCAGGGGACTCCTGACCAGCCCCACGAGTGACCAGGGGACATGGGACTGACCCCAGAGGCGATAGGGGACACGGAAAAAGCCCCACAAGTTACACGAGAATGACGTAGACACACGGGCCACCCCCAGGGGTGACAGGGGGTCACGTGGCCGTCCCCTGCGCGTCACCGCGGACGCGTGACCGTCCCCACGCGTGACGCGGCGGCGCCGGGGCCGCCCGCGCCGAGTGCGCGCTGCCGCCACCAGGGGGCGCTCTGCTGCGCGGCCCCGTGGCCCCGCCCCCAAAGAGGCCGCGCCCCTCCCCCTGTGGTCTACGCAGCATTAGCGGGCCAAGCCCCGCCCACTATCAAGCCCCGCCCCGTGCAGGCCCCGCCCCGCCCGGCGCGCAGAGAGCGGACCCCGCGCAGCTCGGCCCGGCCGGTGAGCGGGGGGCGCGGGGGGATCGGGGGGTCCGGGGCTCGGGTGAGGGGTGTCGGCGGCGAGTGGAGGGTGCGGCGGCTCTGGAGGAGACCCCGAGCGCCGTTCCCTCCGCCGCTTCCCGCTGCCGCAGTCCGCAGCGCACGGGTTCGGTGCGAGGGGGGGGGTAGCGGGGCGGGGGAAGCGGGGCCGTGCGGGACCCCGCGGCCGCGGGCACAGCGGGGGTCTCCGGGCCGCTCCCCCCGCGGCAGCGCTCGGGGATTAGGCTCGCTGCTGCCGTAAATAGGCCGCGGCGGGGCTTTACCGAGCGTCAGGGCAAAGCGGCTTACGGGACTCGGAGAGAACCGGGGGGGGCGGCGGCACCCCCGCAACCCGTGATGCGGGAGCACCTGCACCCCCGCAACCCCGCCCGCCGGGCTGTGGGCATCCCTGCGCCCCCCGCACGCCGCCAGCTCCCCCGCGCCCCCCGCACGCCGTGCTGCGGGCACCCCCGCACCCCGTGATGCGGCCCCCCCGCATCCCCGCAATCCGGGGTGCGTTCACGGCCCGCACGCTGCGATCCCACAGCGCCCGCACCCCATGGCCCTCGCTCGGGGCGCCCCGCGTGCCCCCTTGTGGGGCGCACCCCGCGGCCCCTGACCCCGTTCAGGGTCTCTCCCATGCCCTACACACCCCGGGAAGCCGCCCGGGCCCGAAATGCGCCCCCCGCCCGGTGTCGGTGCCGCCCCCGCGGCGCCGCAGGGCCGGGCCCCCCCCGTCCCGCCGCCCGCCCGGGGCGCGGGGCCGTCACGCGGCCGCCGTGGTTGCGCCACCGGCCGGCGCTGCCCGTTGGCCCGGCCGGGGCCGCTGCGGCACCGGAACAGCGGCGGAACCGCTTGGCCACCGCCGCCTGCCAGGCTGCGGCACCGGCAGCGAGCCCGCACGGGTACCGGTGCCGGTACCGCGCCGCCGGGTGCGCGATCCCCGCCTAGGGCGCAGCCGCCGCTCCCGCACCGCCCGGTTTTGTAACCGGGCTCCGGGAGCGGGGGCGGCCCCGGGGCTGCGGTGGAGCCCGCCCGGCTCGATGCGGTGGGGCCGCGGCCGAGGCCGGGCCTGGGCACGGGCCTGGCAGGACGCCGCCGCTCCCGGTGACGGCCCAAGGGGGCAGTGAAGCAGCGCCGGGGCTCCCCCGCACCGCTGCCGGTAATCGCGGCAGGAACCGGTCCCGCACAGCGATCCCAGACCCGGGGCTGCTGCCATGGCAACGGCCTCGCCGCCGCCATCTTGTGCGGGCACGGGGGCGGGGGGAGCAGGATGGGACCCCCCGATGGTGGGGACCCCCATCCCGGGCATCCGCTGATTGAGGGACCCCCATCCCGGGCGTCCCCGAGTGAGGGACCCCCATCCTGGGCATCCGCTGATTGAGGGACCCCCATCCTGGGCATCCCCGAGTGAGGGACCCCCATTCCAGGCATCCTCGAGTGAGGGACCCCCATCCCAGGGCATCCTCCAGTGCGGGACCCCAATTCCAGTCATCCCCCGTGTGAGGGACCCCTTATACCGGGGCATCCCCTGAGTGAGGGACCCCCATTCTGGGTCATCCCTGAGTGAGGGACCCCCGTCCCAGGGTATCCCCCGAGTGAGGGTCCCCCATCCTGGGCACCCCCTGAGTGAGGGACCGCCCCCCCAGGGCATCCCCTGAGTGAGGTACCCCCATCCTGGGCACCCCCTGAGTGAGGGACCGCCCCCCCAGGGCATCCCCTGAGTGAGGGACCCCCATCCTGGGCACCCCTCAAGTGTGGGACCCCCATTCCGGGGCATCCCCCGAGTGAGGGACCCCCATCCCAGGGCATCCCCCCATCCTGGGGCATCCCTGAGTGGGGACCCCCATCCCATCCCGGGGCATCTCCTAGTGGGGCCCCCCGGCGTGGGGGTTGATGGCCATGGGGGTCTGATGATGGCCTTGGGGGGCTGATGGCCGTGGGGGTGATGAGGAAGGGGGTGACAGCAGTGGGAGGGTGATGGCCGTGTGTGGCTACTGAGGACGGGGTGATGGCTGTATTGGGTGATGCCTTGGGGGGACAAAGATGAGGGGACGAATGCTGTGGGGGTGCCAAGGAGGTGGGTGACAGCCGTGGGGGACAATAGCACCATCTCTAACTCCCTGTCCCCCCTCCACAGCACCAAGGCGGCCGCAGCCCGCGGGCCACCATGTCCCACGAGAAGAGTTTCCTGGTGACGAGCGACGGCTTCGGGGGCCAGCAGCCGCCCACGGCCCCCCCGGCCTACCCTCAGCCCCCGTACCCCGTGGCCCCGTACCCCCAGCCCCAGTTTGCCCCCACGCCCTACCCGCAGCCGGGCTTCACGCAGGGGCCGGGGCCGTACCCGCCGGCGGGGCCGTACCCCCCCGCCGGGCCGTACCCCCCCGGGCCGTACCCCCCGCCCGGGCCCTACCCCCAGGGCCCCTATGGCCAGCCGCCCTATGCCCAGCCCCAGCCCATGGTCCCCGGAGACCAGGACTGTAAGTACCGGGAAAAGGGGGCTTGGGGGCTCCAGATGGGCTGGGGGACCCTCCTGGCTGCCTGATGGGGGGGGGTGACACACCTGGGCTCCTGTCTGAGGCTGGGGAACCCTCCTGGCTGCCTGATGGGGGGGGGTGTGACACACCTGGGCTCCTCTCTGAGGCTGGGGGACCCTCCTGGCTGCCTGATGGAGGGGTGTGACACACCTGGGCTCCTCTCTGAGGCTGGGGGACCCTCCTGGCTGCCTGATGGGAGGGGTGTGTGACACACCTGGGCTCCTCTCTGAGGCTGGGGGACCCTCCTGGCTGCCTGATGGCGGGGGTGTGACACACCTGGGCTCCTCTCTGAGGCTGGGGATTCAGGTGTGAGGGCAGGGCAGCCCCTGGGTGAGGGCAGCCTGGGGCGGCTCCCTTGGATGGGGAGCAGTGCAGACAGTGGGGGGGTCTGGCAGCTCAGCAGGCTCAAGTGGGGCAGCAGGGACCCCCCTGTGGCTTCTGGCTCCTGTCCCACATGTCCTGGGGGGCAGCTGGGGGACAGTGCCCACTGGGGATGGACCCTGGGAGGGGGGGGACACTGCCTAGAGCCATGCCAACTGTGACACATGGCTTTGGGGGACACAGAGCTCCACTCCCCGTGGCTCCTGGCTGCTGTCCCACACGTCCTGGGGGGCAGCTGGGGGACAGTGCCCACTGGGGATGGACCCTGGAGGGGGGGGGGGGGGGACACTGCCCAGAGCTGTGCCAGCTGTGACACCTGGCTTTGGGGGGCACAGAGCTCCACTCCCTGTGGATCCTGCCCCACACATCCTGGGGGACCGTGCCCACTGGGGATGGCACTGGCTGTGACCCTGGGAGGGGTGACACTGCCCAGACCCAGGCCAGCTGTGACACCTGGCTATGGGGGCACTCCCCATGGCTCCTGGCACCCTCCTGAGCAGTGTGCCCCCTCCCCACAGCCCCCCTGCACAGCACCTACCACGAGGACGGGCCCCCCTCCTACTATGACAACCAGGACTTCCCGTCGGCGCACTGGGACGACAAGAGCATCCGGCAGGCCTTCATCCGCAAGGTGGGACACGGGGGGCTCGGGGCGGGGAACGGGGCATCGGGGGGCTCCCTGTGACCCTGCCCCC